GAATAGAAGTGAGAACTATGGCTCCAAATGCAGGCAGAAATTGTTTTGCATGGCCTTCTGTTATTTTAAATGTTATGAAAGTTATTATTTTTGTAGTTGTTTATTATAACTATACTGTTTAAAACTATATTACCTATACCGTTTAAAACGATTGTAAAGAGATAAATTATTAAAAAAAAATAAATGCAGGTCAAAATGTCTCAAAAATTAACTCTCATTCAATTTCATTCAAAATTACTGAAACTACGGTACTAAAGTTAGTCGTCCCTTTATGGTCTACTGATTTTGCCGCTTCAAACGAACAAAAATGATAAAAATTCAGTCACAGTCTACGAATCTTCTGCACTTGTGGTTCGTTACATTCTAATTACGATTTGCAAGGTCACTTTTGGTTACTTTTTCAACTTGCTAAATATAAACTCTTTCAAAAACTCATAATGATTTGTAGGTAATTTTTACAGGTATATAAAATGTGTTGGATATACATTTTTCGCTACATTATGTTTATTTTTTTTTATGAAAAATAAAAATCACTAAGAAATGTAAATTGACGGAACAAGAATAATATAAAACTAATACATTTGCACAACGCGGCATATTGAATATGTTCATAATAGGCGACAAAAAAAATAATAAAATAATAAAATTAACGGAGCTTGGTAGATAATTATGTATTTCAATGTTTCAATATGCTTATTGTAGATTCATCAGTTGTTTAGGCTAATGTTCCCTCTCAATCATCTCGATGAGATCCATATTTTTTTATTGATATACCCAGTGATCTTAATTTTTTAATTAATTATCATCTTTATGTTCCTCATCTTACTCATCGCAAAATTTTCATTTTCACAGTTCAGATGATTTTTTGTTGACATTTAGGCACATTTGTTTAGAGAATATCTAAGTATCGAGTAAGAGTATGATATCTACTATTCAGATAGCAGTATAGTGTCTAGTCTAAAGAGGTCTTGTAGAGTGCCATTTGGTTTACGAGTATTTCTTAATTACGAAATTCTTTCTTCAGATGGCTTCGCTAAAAACAGGATGGATAAAATCACTACAAAGAGCAAATGAAATTGCTTCCACCCAGGTTATACCGGGTGCGTCTCAAAAGTGGCTTACCTTAATAACTTTTTTATTTTTTCAAATAAAAAAAAACGAGATTTAGTATATTAGTATATGACATAAGTTAAAATTGATTGACGTATTCAATTGTCTTTGGTCAATTCCTGTTCCACCGGAAATTACTAGAACTTTTGATTTTTAAATGACACCCTCGGTATTTTTTTATTTTATTCAATAGAAAATGACACTCTGAATAGAATGACATATCATATGTCAACTTTTAACATTTTCGATTTAAAAATAATCTTATTTTAATGTGCTATGGTTTTGTTAAAAACACTATTTTTTATCCAAGGAGCTTTGGAAAAATAGATTTGACCGTCTAATGTTTTTCGTGTCTTGTCCTGGCAGGTTAAAAGATGCACAAATCGTATTTTTAATCATATCTCAATTTTTTCAAATGGAACGAGGGTAGCTCATTAGCATATTTCGAAAAGCATTTTTTACGAATAATTTGTTCCACACACTTGGTATTTCGAGTCAAATTATCGTTATGAACAGCATGTTACAATTTCAAATAAACCATATGAGAAAATGTCAAAAGTTGACATATGATATGACATTCTATTCAGAGTGTCATTTTCATAAAGTAAAAAAATACCGAGGGTGCCATTTAAAAATCAAAAGTTATAGTAATTTCCGGTGAAACAGGAAGTGAATAAGAACAATTAAATACTTTAGTCATTCCCAATTTATTTCATATACCAACATACCAAATCTCGTTTTTTTTATCTGAAAAAATAAAAAAGTTATAGAGATGAACCACTTTTGAGACGAACCCGGTATATAGTTTAATTTAACGAAGAACAAATAGACGATTTTCTAACCCATTTTTCGTTACTTTACAGTTTTATTAAATTAAATTTAATTTCTAATTAAATTTGCGTTGTAGATCATTCTACTATACAGGGTGCTACAAATTTGAGGTGCGAGCAATGGTAACTCAGAATCGTAATAGAATACGAACATGGTTAAATTGGGGCAAAGTTGCGCTTTAGGATGTTCACCAAGATGCCATCAAAAACGTTTTAAAAATTTTAAGGATTACTGAGTTTTTTGAGAAAAACGGATTTTTTGAGCCGCACTTTAAATTAGTTTAAGAGGTACATTGTGTTTAAGTGCCCGAAACAAAAAAAATATATTAAGTATGGTATATCGTTGTACTTAGGAGACTGTAATCTTTCAAAATTTGAAATAAAAAATGCAGGTCTGTATATGAAAAAATCGAGGAAAAAAATAAGTTGGTCTATGTATCTCACAAATTATCAGCTAATTTGAAAATCTAAAAATACTTTTTTATCAGATAGACTTGATAACCTAACGACAGGAAAAAATAAAATCGATTTTCAAGAAAATCCGCTTTTCTCAAAAATCCTTGAAATTTTTTAAACTTTTTTAATGGCATCTTGATGAACATCCCAAGACGCAACTTTGCCCCAATTTTACCATCAGATTAAAAAATTCAGGATCCCATTTAAAAAATGAATGGAATGTTTATACTTGGTGGACATTTTGATCCGCAAAACATTGCGTAACTTTGTCTCTATTCAACCACGACTCTAAACTCCTATCACTTCGATTTTTTGAGAGTCCAATGATGAGACTTGAATTTACGACACCCTGTCCAATTAAATACGAATCCTTGATCTATCTAATAATAGTATTAAATCTATCTTTATCGATTTAAAAATATCCTAGTTAAGCAAAACAAACGTTTTACCATAAAATTCCATGGGAAACCTTAATGATCTGTTCCCTGCATCTAATAGTCATCAAACCAACGAATTCAGACTGATTAACATGCTTTTTACAACTCTATTCTACATTCCCTCTAATAGAACAGTCGTAAATCGTATAGAACATCATCATATCAGAAGATTAATCTGACGAAAATAGATTTGATGCACTCGAACCCTATGATGCAATTATATAAAATGGTTTATTTTAGATGGAAATAGAACTCATTAAAAGTTTAAAAACTTGAGGAAGAAAATGCTTTAAGTTTTTTGACTCAAAATTACCTAATATAATCATCGTTCTGAGATGTCGGAGAAACAACCTGATTGACAGCACAAAGGAAAGTTTTTAATGAAGTCATTTCAAAAAGCCGTCTTTTTAGTCCTTTAAGAAATTTAAAAAAAAACTTTTGAGAAGGATGCTTTAGTCGGTCACTTTTTAGAGTCGATCGAAGTTTGTAACTGAAAGAATTAATTATTGGCAATTATTGTATAGACATACAGATATTAATTTTGTGGAAAATCAGTATCCAATAGTTCTTTTAATATATAAATTTCAACATTACTGAATAGGGATTGCAAACCGACTTTTTAAATAGTAGTACTGGTACTCAGTAATTTAAAAGATGGAATTATTAGTTTACCGGTATTTACCGGTTTTTTCTTTACCAGCACCGGCGGAAAAAAAAGCAACCTTTACCAAATCGGAGCAAAATTTATTGTAACAAAATACTTTAAATTTTAACTGAAAACAAAAGTAAAAACAACGCCAAATAAAATAAAACTAAATGCTAAATATTGGCGTAACTACAGGTGGGCCGGGGGTGCCGGGCCCACCGCAGATACTGCTGGTGAAAGAGAAATCTTGAATTTTGACTGAATTTTGACTCTCGGCTAAATATTATATCAAATGGATTAATTCTAGTTTTCTAACGACTTGTGTTACCGACTTTCGTTATAACCTAAATATCAACTTTAAAAATGTTCAATTCATAATTATAGCATTGCTTATTCAAAATTGATATTTAAAATTGACAAAAACATAATTTTACATATATTTTATTTTTTTTATCTCGGAAACTATAAGAGGTAATAATAGGTTAGTATAATAAAAAAATATGAGATATGAGAGAAGTTTCCAAAAATGTAATAATATACTGGGTGTTCCATTTAAAATAACACAAAGGTGCTACCACTTTTCAAATGATCCGGCAACACTGTAACGTTGATAATATTTTAGATAGATGGAGCAGGTGCTTTTATATAAAAATCCAAACTTTCAAAAAAAAATCTATCACTGGTCCTCCCACCATGGCTAGAAAGTCGGTTACCAGTAGCGGATAGACAGCTAACTTTTGAGCCATAAGGATATTTCAAGATTTTTCATTTTTCCCTTCCATTATAAGCTTAATACTACCTAAAATTCAAATTTAGAAGTTTGTAACACTTCTAGAAGTACCTTAGAATTTTGATGACGGCAGTGAGTCATTGGTGAAAGAAATTTGAGTAGAAAAAACTCGTAGTCCTTGAATTATTATTGGTACATTGATAAACAAATAAAATCAGAAGAGAACGCTTCAATTAATTCTAGTTTTCTACTTTTGTCTCGACTAGAAAGTCAATTACCGGTAGCGGCTAGACAGCTAACTTTTAATCCATAAGGATATTTATTTTTAATTTTTTCTTTTGGTTATAAGCTTAAAGCTACCTAAAATTCGATATTTGAAGTTTGTGACACATCTAGAAGCATCTTAGAATTTTGATGATCTGTCAGTGAGTCAATGACGAAATTTAAAAAAAAATGACAAGCGATAATTCATAAACTATGAGGTATAATTACTAGATATTTTGGTAGCCTAGCCAGCTATAGTATGTCTTCATGTGTAGTGAAAATTAACGAAGTTACAGGGTGGCCAAAAGTACCGCTAATACCTTCAAAAAAGGATGGTACGGCTGTGCTCGAGATTCGATTTTAACGAAAACATTTAATATATTAGTACTATTATTGACTACTATTTAAGTACTTTTATTAAGAATGCCACACCACAAAATAATTTATAAAATAAACTTTAATATGTAATAGTTTGCTCTTTGCTCAACAAAGTGATTATCTATTTTCCATTTTCCATCTAATTTCAGCCTGCAGTGGTTGAGGATCTTCGTAGATGGACATCCGACGAAGCACTTGGTGATGTTACAGTGGGTCCAGATTGTACCAGGAGAATAGACTCAATACTAAGCGACGGAGATATGACAGATGGAACCATCGTATCCGATGATGAAGGCATTGATCACAAACTACCTTCACCGGAAGAACAATTACAAGTAGTAGCTTTAAGGTAAATATTTCAAATTTATTATAAAAAATAATATTCCTAAAACTAAAAGTCTATCACTTTCTATGTTAATCTTATAATAACTATAAATTAATAACCCTCACGGTTTTGGGGACGATTGTTAGACGTATCTATTAACAGGCAAAAACTGCTGCTGAGCGACATTACCTAAAATGATTTACTTCTTTCGCATATTGTCAGTTATCCGGTTATATTTCGGTTGTCGGAACAGTATTCCAGAAACTTCGGCAGTATATTCTGCAGATAAAAATAAGTAAAAAAGTTCGTATAATTGTACGTCCTAAAATGCATAGTGTCGGCAGGGGTGGATGGGGAAGTGGAAACCGGCCCGGGAAAAATAGGCAACCGGCCCAAATCCACAAAAACAAAATGACCATAACGAAGAAACATATTTTATTTATTAATATATAAGTAAGGGTGTTTTTCGCTCGTGCGAAAAAGCTCTTTTGCCTCCGTTTTAAAAAAAAATTAAAATGTCTTGATCAAAATTTTCGTAAAGACCAATATTGGGTTGGATATCTGAATTTTTACTACAAAATGGCTCAGTTTTACAGGGTTCTACTGCTTTATTTCCATTATCGATAACGGTAATTTGATCTTGAATAGGTTACGATTTTGAGTCACGATTTTGAGAAACTCTAAGACTTCCTGATTCATTCAGTTCAGCTGACCCAATCCTTTGTGAAATACATTACATTTATTTTTTTTGGTACTTTCTTACACATTGTAGAAATTCGCTCTTTTCTGCTACAGCAGCAGCCTCCTCGTGTACACTTTTTTTACTGAATGAACCGCGGTCGCCATTAAAACTGCAGCATTTTTTAGGTTATTATATAGTTCTTATCACGAAACTTTTCCTCTATACTTTTCTACATTTGGTATCTTTTATGATAATGCCAATTGAGCATTTTCTTTTAAATGTTCCTGTATATTTTAGAAAACTGTTTAGAACTTCTTGTTCACCGCCAATTTTCCCACGGTATAGTTTCTTAATCTCTGATATTACGGCACTAATACCGAAAAATTGACGTGGCTCAATTTTTTTTTAAATAAATCATTTTTTTTTAAATTTCCAAACTTTAATAACTCGATTGGACCTATTTGAAACTCGATAAACAGAATATTATTATATTATGTTTATTTTATTGAGATCTACCAGCCCTGAAAATATTTGCACTTATAGACTCTTTGTATAATAAAAATTTTCAAACCGAACAAACAACAGATGATTATTAAAATTATAAGTGTCCCAGAGAAAGACATTTTACAATAGTTAAATAATAAATTATACTGATGCAAATTGATTAGTTAGTTATGGAGCCACTAAGGATCTTACGTCACTTTAGTTAGAAGATTAACTATTTAATTTTTGCTAATCCAATCTTTTTTGAGCTCTGATCGGGACCGGCCCACCGGCCCATTTTTCCACCGGCCTACCGGGAATTTTCCCGTTTTCCCATATGACCTATCCACCCCTGAGTGTCGGAGATACAGGGTGTAGAAGTTTCATTTTTATTTCGATTTTTTCCAAATAATTTCTGAAGTAACGTCAATATTTGGATGAAAATTAATGTCTAAAACTTTTTTAGACACGAGAAATTTGATTTTGATGTAACAATATAACTCTTACTTGTAGAGGGAGCCATCTACATATTTTTTAACTGGTTTGAAGAATAATAACTTTTCATACGTACCTGTATATAGCTACTGGGTAAAAAATATACATTTACCACGTTTTTTACTCAAAAAAGGTCTCTCAGTAACAATGGCTACGAGTAATGGTTCTCGAGAAATTGGGAATCAATTATCAATACTTGTCATCATTGACATAAATTAAACATGTTGTTACTAAATAGTTATTAGACTGAAATCATAAATTTGAAATGTTTCTGTGCCAAAAGTTCAACTGTTTTATCATTGAAAAAAATTATGATTAATTTAAAAAAATAAAAAGTTCCAAAATTTATCATTTCAGTCTTATTAACTATCTACTCAACATGTTTATTTTTAATCTATAATGACATGTATTGACTATTTCCATTGTAAATATCTTTGGAACGGTTGCTCGTAGCGATTTTTACTAAGAGACATTTTTTACGTAAAAAACCACGGAATTGTATATTTTTTCACTCAGTAGTTTTATACAGGTACGGACAAAAAGTTATTACTTTTCAAAACAGTTAAAACACATGTAGGTCACGTCTTCTACAACTAGAAGTCCTACTGATATCAAAATCAAATTTCTCATATCAAAAAACTCCCAGACACCAATTTTCATCCAAATATTGACGTTATTTCAGAAATTATTTGGAAAAAATCGAAATAAAAATGAAACTCCTACACCCTGTAGATCCGAAACTAAGCATTTTAGAACATACATTTATACGAACTTTTTACTTATTTTTATCTGCAGAATATGTTGCCGAAGTTTCCGGAATACAGTTCGAACCACCCTTTAGATTATTGGTTATCGATGAAGAAAAACTTTTTTTTTTCGTTTTGTAAGTTAAAATTATTTATGTTAACTTACACTGGAACTGTAACAAGAAAATGAAAAAAATTGTTTTAGTTTCAAATCTGAATAATTGTCTGCCATTTTCAAAGATAATATAGGTACCTATATCAAATACACATTGGAGAAACCATTGGAAAACATTTTTTTAGAAGTTCCTGGTAGTTTTTTTTTCCGCAAGACATCTCCGATTTTTAATTTTGAAACGGTTACCCTGTATATCATCAAGAACTATTTTCATATCACCACTATTTTTCTGAGCTAATATATTTTACACAGCAATAATTTAACTTAAATTTTCTTGATTTAGTTACCGTAGCCATCTAAATTCCGAATGACTAGTCACGCATCTAATTTTACAGATTTCCTGCTGAGGTTGTGGCGGTTGATATTTCCGGCAGAAGTTTCGATAGGATGTCGATGCAGAGGCGATCGTTAATGACGGGAGAATACCCCAGCAAGCTGGCAGAGGGAGACACTGTGAGACGAAGAGGGAGGACCAGAAGACCAAGAAACAGGTTTGTCATTTATATTGGTTCAGTAACGGATATTAGAGTAATTTTCTAAAGTTTAATAGAATATATTTTATCTTAATAAAAAATATACCGTATGATCGAAAAATAAGAAGCTTTTAGCTGAAAATAGCCTTGATAAAGACGAAAATGCGCGTCAAAACGTCGGCAATTTTTTAAAGAAAAGGTTGTTTATTTCCTGGTTCTAAACCTGCAAACACCATTTCATCTATAACATCAGGAAGCAAATCTACCACTTTATTAGCATAAAACTTAACATTAACTATAGTCAAAAATTAACATTAATTATAGAAAGATTAAAAAAAGAATAGAACGTTTCCAGGCACACAAATCTATTTCCAAAAAAGTATTTTTTTCTCGAAACTTGAGCCACCTTTTAACCACACCGTTTAAAAATCATTTTTACTCAGTATAAAAATAAAACACAACTCTCTTAGGCCAACCACCAGTAAGCGCAATTCAAAAATAAGAAATAATATGGGCCAAGTAAATGACATCTAGGGCTTAACCTCGCCAAAATTATCATCGAATGTCATTCCTAATATTTTGACGCCTTTTTTTCGATCATATGTTACTGATAAGTATATTAGTTGTTATTAATCAATCCATAAAATATATGTATATTATTAGAATTCCCTATATTAAATTTATCACTGAAAGTCAGTTTCGATTCAAACACAGTGACATTTTACATATAAAAAAACATTTTAGTTTTCAGTTTGAATGGCTAAATGCCTATTTTTTCAAACCTAAAATAAATATTTTATAAGAAGACATAATACCCCTTGAATATACCAATTTGAATAAAACTAATTATTACATATTTCTAAACGAAGCATAAAAAGCAATAAAAAATTATATAAATAGATATGAAAAAAGAAAAAGCCAGTTATTAATATTTTGATTAAAAAAATCGATAATCTTTCCAAAAAAAAATTAATGGTTGATTTATATTATTTGATTTGTATTAAGTGATTGTTTTAACATATATTTTTTTATATTTAAGAAGAAGAAATACATTAGCGGGGACAGACCAGAGAGAGATAGAAAACGTCCTGTCTGCTGGGTAAGTTTTTTGCTTTACTACAATTTTACAAAAATATTGGCCATTTAATAGCTTACTAAAAATGTATAGTGTGAATAATAAAAAATAGTGATTTACAAAATTAATGTATTAGCATGCCAGTTTGTTATGTTTTTATACTATTAAACAAAACCAAACATGTAAATATTTTTATAACTCACATAAATCAATGCTTGAATCATTTATATAAAATATTCACACTAGTCACATTTTCTTAGACCGTAATAATGTATTGCTGAAGTCGAACACGTTATCAACAATACAAGACTTAACAGCATCATAAAAATCTAATACAAAACATTCCCCAGGGATGAGCAAACGTCACCGGATACCACGCAAAGGAGCAAAGCGACATCTGCAACAGTACCGAGAAGCAAAAGCAGCGACCTCTTACGATCTAACAACAAGAAAGAATCGTCGGACATCAAGATTTCTCGATTTAATAGCTTAAAGCAATGGGGAAAGAATCAGTACGACAAATTTTTAAATAAGAGCAACGAAAAGAACGAAAACGTTTCTACCAGTAGTGGCGGGGGAAGTAAAACTAAAGTTTCTTTATCGGAAGACGGAGTTGATGATTTTAATTTGTATGACACAGTTACAATGAAACGTAGAAGAGATATGGACAAGGAACGCAAAACTCACGAAAGAAATTCTTCTATATCCAGTTCAGAGAAATCTTTACCTGTTACTACTAGCACGCTCTCTTCGGTTATGAACATTGCTGTCAAATTAAGGGAGAGTTCATTGCAACGACGTCAAAGAAGAAACGGAACTAACAAAGACGAACCTCATTCTTCCAGTGGTAACTGGAGCGCAAGTTCGGAAAGTGGCCGTGCTTCCATTGGTTCCGAAATAACATCCACCACTCATCCAAAAAGTACTACATCTGCCGCAACTTCTAGCAATTCCCTTAATCTACATCCTCCAAGTTCCGTAAACTCACGGCGCAGATTTAACTTCAACGCTTCCACGTCGAGCAGCGTAACCAGCGAAGGTAGCACCTTAACTCCAGATATTATCCATGATTTACACGAAGACGGTGATTCGGTCTACTCTTGCGATACCGAGGGCTATTACACCTCCTTCCACATGGATAGCGGTCTAAAGACTCTGAAAGAAGAAGAACTTCCATCGACTCCGTTACAAAGCACTTCGGCGTTCTGTAATTCTGATTCGAACAATACTGTGATGTCAGCTGAAAATGAATACGAACTTTTCGGTAAAGGTAGTACGTCCACAACTACAAGTTCGGCTGGAACCGTATGTACTACCCTCAGGGCAGCTGAAAGTAATAGAAGTTTAGTTATAGGGCCAGCAGTGCCAGAAAGAAAGAGTTCTCTGTCGAAATTATCAAATAAATCAAGCAAGAGTCCCGAAAGCTCGCTGGGACGAGATTATGTAGATAAAACTGGTACTATAAAACGCAGTCCCGCTACGGCTCATACAAAACCAGCTATAGTAGGTCTAATTCAGAAAAAAGACAGCAGTGGGGATGTTTCTCCAGACAGTGGACACAATACCTCGAGTTCGCCAATTGAGAGTGTTTCTAGTCCAAACGGTATTCGTAGCGGTTCAGATTTCGAGTTTTCAGAAAGCTCTGATATGGAAGGACCGGAAAGAACTGAAAGGATCAGAGTAAAGACAACAATAAACTCTAGTAGGATACCGTCGATGTGCGCTATAACTCCCCCTCACAGCGATGACGAAAGCTCAAGTAACTCATCCTACAAGAAACACATCGAGGCAAATAATTTAAGAAATAGTTTAGAAAACGAGAAGGAACTCGACAAAGAAAATGGAAACATAAATATAAATCAAAGAATTATAAGTACAAATGTAAACGGTACACAAAAATTGTCATTAGTCAATGTAAATACTCAATCAGGATATGCTACTGTAGAAAATCTGGACGAAGGCGTAACAGCCTCGCAAGTTAAGGTTTCTGCTACCACAATTAGAGCTCCATCTCCGAGTGGAGGTAGCGTAATAGTAAAATCAGAAACTGACAGTGTCACAAAGATTTCGTCCCAGCCTTTGATCAAGTCCAGTTTACTACCTTTAAACAACATGTTTGGAAGAATTAAATCAAATCTAACGAGCTTAGGTCTGAGCAGGCGAGATAGAAGCAAAAGTCCAAATAATGTTAAAACTGAACCCATTTCTGATTCTATGGACGAGTATGTTACTTTAGCAGATGTACGAAATAATAACGAGAAATATTCCGTTGAGGAAATTACCTATGCTAATGACGCAGTGAACAAAAATTTAAATACAGTATTAAGCGGAAAAGTAAGAGATGCCGAATATGTGTCTCTTAACGAGCTACCTAACAGTGATAATAACGCAATGATGGGAGCAGATTCGTCATTGGAGAGAAAAAAGAGACAAGGTGCCCGAGTAATGCTAGATGCCGAAGGAAAAGTAGTATACAGCTCTGACAGTTTAAGAAGACGTAAACCTCCTAGCACCTTTGAACCGGGACCTTTTGTGAAACTCTCCACTCAAGCCAGTCCCAGATCCAGCCCTCAGATGCACAGAACACTTAAAAGCATCCGTCCGATAGCCTCCAGCCAGGACCAGATGAAGCTGAACGTTCCTCAAGCTGAATTTTACCGTCCCATGTCGCCTACCTCAGGAAATAAAGTCATTATAAAGGCTTCGGGTAATCCGCCCGAGGTAATCCGTTCTCCGTCCACCGTGGTTCAACCTGCCAGTCCCAAAATGAGACCCTTGAGCCCGAAGGGTGCCTACGTTCACGTGCAAGCACCCGGAGGTCCACTGTCGCCGAAAGAACCCAGAGGTAAGACCAATCGCACCTTGTTACCAAATAAAGTTAATGTAAATAGTTTTAAGAAGGGCAACAGCGTCACTGCCGTGGGTAAAAATTTCAATTCTCTCGGGAAACATAACAATAATTTTAACAATAACAAGTCGGATAATAATGTTAGTGGTACAGACAGAGCTATAAAGAGACGAGAAAGTTACCGGTTGGCTAATTCCGCAATAGTAACACCTAAGAAAATTTTGAATTACGAAAAAAATACGTCTAAAACTATGTCTGACAGCGATCAAGACAGTTTCGAACGTGAGCTGGAAGAGGAATTGCTAAAACAGGAGATCAATTATCCCTCGTCGGTTTCTCCTGTATTGTCTCCGAAATTATGCACCAAGCATGTTTTTTATAACCAAGAACACGCACAAAAATTGCTATTGTGCTCTCCTAAACCCGTTTCTATACCCAGGGCTAATGATGAGAAATGTTTAAGGATTCTAAACGCCTCTGTTACAGATACCGAAATCTGGTAGTAGTTTGGTGATTATGTTCTGTATCACATAGATGTTGAACAGTGAAGCTGAAACTCTATGCTTCAAAATATCCAGCTTTCTCTCACACAGTTCAAAAACAATGACTCAAAAAAAATCAATTTTTGATATTATTATCAACACGCTGGCATACTATTTTTTGATTATAAAAACAAAAATATGCCATTATATTTCAATCAGTATTATTTATTATCTTAGTATTTTTTTATTGTTTAGGTAAATTTGTAATAAATATTCAATTGAATAATTTGAATTAAGAGGAGTTTAAAATTTATATTGATAGGAATAAATGAAATATTTATATACATATAAAAAGTGAAATATTTTTAGCATCTGAAACAACTTACATTTATGGTGGATTAATTGAGAGGGAGGTCTTCTAAGGGCCTCTGATGGTCAATTTATTGCTTTACTTGACTCAATATGGAGGAAATATTTAAAAAATAATAATAATAAAATAATAAATCACAAAATTATGTTTTTGGATTCAGTGAATTGCATTTTAAAAAATAACTTTTAAAAAACTATTTTCCGATCCAAATCAATTTTGTGTAATTAATATTCATAAATTTATTATAATGATTATTTTGCGTATAAACTGTTATTTCTGGTTTCGGTATGCTTAATGTATAGTGTATAGTTTCAGAAACCGGCCGAGTTATTTTGTAGCCGCTGAAAGAGCTTTATAGTCAATGAAATTAGTATCTTGATTTGTACCAGTTCTGACAAATAATAACGTTAAGTAGTATTCTGGGAGCAAAAAAAGGAATAAAGACTTTTAATGTATGTCTTTTATTTTATTTTATATAAAAATATGTATGTTTTGCTTTTTTCTAAAATAATCCAATAATAAAATATCCAAGTTTATTCTTGTCGCGGACTTCTTAAAAAAATACGGTTTATCTTTGAATGAATTTATGTTTATATTTTATATTTATATTTAAAATATAAAAACAAAATAGGATTGAAACAAATTAATTTAAAAATGAGTTAAGACTTTACAGAAATATAATAATTGTATTATTCTTAATGCATTTATTTTCTTTAGTATAACTTTCTTTTATAGGAAAAAGATAATGAATTATTCTTCTTGAAATAAAATATATTTAATTCCAAACATGAACTGTTTAAAAATGAGATAAAGCATTAGAAATACCGTTTGATGTCATATCTCAGCGATTTAATATGTGAAGATCCAGTGTTAGTTGTTACGGATTCCGTAGGTCCACTAATTTAAACTCACGATAAAATACTTAACGAATTTATTTTTCTCTATTATATACAATTCATTTACACACAACTTTGCAACTAACAATACAACTGGTTTTTAACTCTGTTTTTAGACACCCTCGGCCAATTAGTCCGCCAATTGCTATTACAGAGCACTATTCGAAAATAACAAAAGCTTCATTCAGAACCTCGCAATTAGGAATAAATTGGTGGTTTTAATTAAACTTTATACATTTTAGTTTACGATCATTCACAATGTCTAAAAAACACAATTAAAATTAATAGAATATCCCCCAACAAACAGTTTGATGTAGTCAGTTGTATCCATAGGCCATAGAGAAAGCCTAATATTTAGCTTATTAAAACAAAAAAAACTTTTGCCCTAAACACAATGTTCAAGAGAAATCACGACGGATGATAATAAAAACCAAAAAAAAGTGACGTTCCAAGTATAATTATGAAAAAATTGAAAGTTTGTTAACTTTTTCTATTAATTGAAAATTACTTCCACTAATTTTGATCTTCTGAATGCTTACATTGATATTAGAAGCATAAAAATAATAAATACAAGAAGAAGTGTCAATAATGTTAAATTATGGAAACAGCGTGGCTGCCTGGGTAACTAATTTTCGTGATATGGCGGCTGGGGACATTTGACATGACATAGACATGACAATTTCAATTTTATTAAATTTATTTCCGTTTCCGGTTTTTAATGGCGGGCTGTTCAGGAGGCGGTACGAGGGTTAATATACTTTACTCTTTCTAGTAGTAAATAATACAACAAAATTACTCAAAAATATTTGGTTTGGAATTTAGAACAATGTAAATATGCAAATCAACACAATTAAAGAGCTATAATCCAATAAACTACTGTATCAAATATTTAAATAATATCAGAGATGCTGTGTTAAAGCGAATTAGTAAAGCAGTGCATTGACTTACAGAAACTTGAAGATAACAAATGTTTTCACAGCTTCACGGGACATAAACTAAATAACTGGAAGCAGGAAAAAGGCAACCGAACCCACACAAACCTGGAATCAAAAAAAAATATGTAAAAAAATATAAATATAGTACATAAGACTTTTGTGAATTAAATCAAATGACTTTTGAATGTAAATAAATGAATAAAATATAATACATACATCTAATACCTCATTTTGTATTTTAAAAATAATCTACATACATAGATTTATAGCATTATTGCTATGAAAAATATTAATAGGTACCTATGTAATATGTAATTACGCATATCTGTTCATCTTGTAGAAAATTAATGTAGGCTAATAATACTCAATAATCATAATTTTACCTTGTATAACTTGCTTTCAATTGCTCAAAATCACCGATCAGTCTTTAAAGTAGAGATACGGAAAATCCTTGGCAAAGAATATCCCAAGATCCTTGGGTTTGTGTTAAAAAATATAAAAAACAGTTAATATATTACCTATTTTTACATATAATATGGCCCATACCTACTACACGCAGAAACGTCGATTTCATCATTTTCTTCATGTAATTAATATCATATATACTTTATTAAAGTGTTAACAAGAACTTTATATCAAAAACCTCGCAATTGAGTGGAGATAAATTGAGGCCGGTTTTTAATTAAACTTTATACATTTTAGTTTTTTACGATCATTCACAATGTCAAAAACAATTAAAATTAATAGAATATCCTAACAACAGTTTTGATGTAGTCAGTTGTATCTATTAGCCAAAGGCCATAGAAAGCCTCTAATTTATTAGCTTATTAAACAAAAAACTTTTGAGTTCTAAACACAATGTCTCAAGAGAGGAAATCCGTCGCAGACGGATGACTGAAACCAAAAAAAGTGACGTTCAAGTATGGTCTAGGAAAAAATTTGAAAGTTTGTTAACTTTTTTCTATTAATTAGAAAATTACTTCCACCAATTTTCCGATCTTCTGAATGCCCCGATGATATTAGAAGAACAAACTTCTACACTAATTCGCGATGTTGTGAATGACACTTAACTGCCGTGCGCGGGGTGCGCTTTATATATCGCTGCGGATCTTCCTGAAAGTTCTATTCTAGAATTCTGTCGTATTTCTTTTTGTTTCTCGAAATTTCTGTTGATGGTTTGACATTACAGAACTCGCTTCTCTCCTACCTTGTCCACTACCCAACAGATGTCGCCATACACCTTGATATTACGTTGGGTTTGCAAAATTTTAAAAAAATGAAAATGTCGGCTTATGGCGTTTTCAGATGGAGTGGAGCGTCCGCGACGGACCGTCCGCGACTTCGAGCAAGTATCATGAGTTTATATGAACGATTTCACATGCGTCGCGTTTGCTCCGTCCGTGGATGAGATATATTGAAAAAACATCCGCGCGGACGTTCCGCGCGTATGGTCCGCTCCATCTGAAAGCACTGTTAGTGAGTTTTTGTAGTAAACCGATAATATATTATTACAGCGTTTTCAGATGGAGCGGACCGTCCGCGACGGAGCGTCCGCGACTTCGATCAAGTACCATGAGTTTATATGAACAATTTCACATGGGCGCGTATGCTCCGTCCAACGGAGTTCGTCTGACGGCTATCTTGAAAAAAACAGGACGATGGTCCGTCGCGGACGGTCCACTCCATCTGAAAGCGCTGTTACCCTTTTAAATGAAGATTGAATTGAAGAAATACTTGTTTAAAATACATCCAATTTCATATTAAAAGTACCATTTGCAAATATACAATAAAATTTTTCACTTTGCTTTTCAAGTCATGGTAAAGAGGCGTTAATTTTCTATATTTCATAGAAAAAATATTTTCCAAAGAACTAGGGTTCCCAACTAGAGCATCGGCGATTCCGGGACAATTATTTTTAAGTTTTTAAATAATTGAAACAAAACATTAAATATTAGAAATTCAAATATATCATATGTAAATGTGATTTTTTTTGTTTCCGGCCAAGGCAAAATTTTCGCCAGGGACAAACTTTCTGATTCCTGGTTAATCCCTGGTTAAACCTGGGATGGTTGGGAACCCTAAAAAGAACTCTTAAAATGATGTTAAGAATTAAATTTGAAAATCAATATGTAGTATATTAACTATTTTGATATTATTTATATTTTAATTACAATAACGACACACTATAGATCTATTCTAATAATAATAATATTTATATTTAAAACTTTTTGTTTCAATTTTAAGTTAAAATTATTTAGTGTCTAAAAAATTCATTAAAATTCCACTAGTTTACCACGACCGATATACACCAAAA